TGTTGCTTGTACGCAAATATAGGTGACGACTAAAGTTGAGACATGGGCCTGAGGTGCCCCGGGCTGACCTGCGTTTGCATTATGCAGGGCGTAGTTCGGGCACTTGCACTACTGTTTTGATATATAATATATAGAATGTGGTCACAGGAGTAGTATACACTAAACGAGCTAACGATGCGCCGCGAATGCCAGGGCCACACGTTTCCGTTTTCCTCACATGTGGACACGTTAGAATAACTGCGGCATGTGTGAGGTCACAAACTTACAGTTGCTGTTTTAGTCCCTAATGCTGTTCTTGGTCTTGAAATTGACTCAACCAAGAATAATGATGTCAGTAGCTCTAAGTATCATGCGTTTTCACAATAAAGGACCAAAGCTAAGACCCACAAAAATGACCCAAAAAATCGACTTTTTACATTGGGTTCGTGGTATTGTGCTAGTATAGATCTTTCTCAACCGAATAGAAAAAACTTGCCGAAAGCCGTTACCACCACAAGTAAGTCTATTCTAGACTTCCACTGCGTGAGAGTTCAGTCGTGGTCATCAAATGCAAAAAATCCCTACGAATATTTGCAAAATTGTCTTGGACAATTAAATTTGACAACAAAAGTGAAATAATGTCCGAATGAATAAAGCTTTATCGTTAAAAAGCTTATTTGTATAAAAAAAAAAAAAACAAATCACCTATTATCGACCCATAGGGTGTTCATGTGGTCAAAGGTATGTCTATATGATTTCATATATGCTCTTCGCAATCTTCTTGAGATACGAAAAATTAGTACTAAAAAGACGTTTCACACCATGTGTATGTGTGTCACGTATTTAGGAGGTCGACGATATAGAGACCTTGCTACTAGTTTTTTTCCATTGTTGTTCCAGCGTTGTTTTTTTCCATTTAGCGTAACAATTAACTTGATTAGGTTCCTTCTCCTTCAGAACGCAAAGGATACCCGTCTGCTCTTAATAAGCTAATCCGTATCGGCTATTTAGACTACAAACGGTAGAAGCCTTTCGAATGCCATATTTTACCGGCAGACATTTTCTTAATCTCTCTCGTCTGCTGGGTTTTAATACATTTCGAGATACATGAAGATTGTAAGGATGTTTTGCCGATAGACGATTGAAATGGACATTCGGACAGAAGTGAAGAAATGTCTTAATTTTTATGTTCATTGCTTCAGGCGACTGATTTCTGGCGCGAAATGAAGCAGGTCTATGCCAGGATTTGAACCCAGAGCGCTATGTGTAAACACGCTACTACGCTGTGATATAAATACTTCAGAAGTAGGTACTCAAAATTGTATTATTATTGGGTAATTTAAAAGTAGTTTTGACACGTATTCCCTAGGTAAATATAAACTTAGGCATGCTTAATGATTTAGCTCACTTTGAAGATTCAAATGCTAAGTGTCATTCGGTACATAAAGAGCTCTTCTGCTGACAGCAAACCGCCAGCAGTTTCCGGTATGCAATTTGTTATATATTTTCATATGAGAAGACTACCCTCGATTCATCTTTATTTTTACCTCGTGGTCATATTTTACGGATGTTTAATCTTTTGCTACCGCCCTCCGAGACATAACCTTGCAAGCTAATCCGGCCGATGTTTTTATTAGCTTCTTGTCTGACTGCTCTCGAGGGACCGTCCTTTGCTCAAGGACGTTCCATTTGTCTAAAATTAAGACGAAACAAGACACTGAGCGAAAGGTTCGTGCCACAAAGTGCGGAAGCCACACCGCGAGATGGTTGACTACGTTCTCCTATCCTTTTGGGGCAGCAGTCAGTCATTGTGTATACCCGTCCGTCTGATTCCTAGATGTTGCTCATTCCGGATTTTTAACCACTGTTTCTCCCGATCCAGTTGGCCAGCAAATTCGCTCAATGTGAGCACTGATTGTTTTTTTGGTGCGTTTGCAAATTCTACCGGGATGTTTTTTTGCCGCGCTTATTCGTTATGGACGTCGTAGGAGAACAGTTTGCCCCCAGTTTCCTCAATCGGCCTAATTCGAACTGTATGTGCGTCTTACCAATGGGAAAGCTAAGTTAAAAAAGAAACGATTTATACGAAAAAACGATCCTTATCTACTGTATAGATTATGTAGAAAAGGTTTAGGGTAGTTCTTTACCGTTTGAAGGCGTGTTGAATGAATACCGAACGAATAGTATCACATAAGCGAGATGATCTCAAAACGGACCTCGAGCAAAACCGAGGTGGAACGATAAGGCATATGTAGTCTACACTGAAAGCAAATCCAAGTAGAGATAATTAATGTTTGTACGTTAAATTTGGTTTTTTCGTACGATCATCACTGATGAGCGTTCGACGAGTACCTGTTTATGAATTTAACCTAAAATGGCCTACACGTTTGCGTGATAACAAGAGTATTTTCATTGTCCTATTATTTTATATTTGGTTAACGTGAACACGTCGCCGATGTTTGCTTTATGTGCGAAAAAAAAAAAAACAACAACGCCAGTTGACGTAATTTAACGCGTGATGACACCTTCATAGCTGAACGTTATGATGTGTTGCCAGTGTGGTACGTGTGAAGTCTACTATTGATAACATTACGACCAACCCGTATATTCGATTGGACCCTTAGGTACATCTGTAAAGGTACAGGTGCTATCGACATTATATCTAGAGTATAGACAGTTCCTGACGTCTCAGTGGCGAATTCACGCCAAACATTTGTATTTGCCAAAGCGAACTAAGTACGAGGTTAGCGCGACGAACCAACGTATGTTTTGTTCGCTTGTAGCTGTCAGCTCTCCTGTCTATGTTTACTTTACATTATCACTTCAGGATTTAAAGTTGAGAGCGGAGAAAGTTTAGACAACTTGTTTTCTAGGTCGATAAAACGATTCTCAAAAAATTACATCCGAATCGAAAACTAGATTTGCCTTGGATGGTTATATCGTCCTACTGTATGCTGGACGGTTGCGCTCTTTTTATATTTACGTGTTGTCATCGTTGACTGAATAAAAATGCAATTGACTAAGTAACATAGAGGAGGTAGTTTTTTCGTGATGATATGTATCCTTAAGCTTAAGATACATCTATACATATACGTATAGAAATACACATTGGGTAACAATGATACATCGATCGCTTGTAACCTATTTTAGATCGAGGGCGTTTGCTGCTCAGATCCGTTGTGGAGCGTAGCTGGAGTAAAAGCTGGCCGAGAAAACTAATCAATGAATCTTTGTGTGTTCAAAGTTCATGATTGTGCTCGTATCATAATGTACCCGAAGCAAAGCAGGAAACACACCAATGGAAAAGGCCGAGAGGGGGGAGGGGGTCTGCGGGTGCACTTCCTTAAATCTTTGCAAAGTCTACTACAGATAAGCTTTATATTTATACCTATCATACATATTATATATGCTCTCTATTCTTTCGAAGGGCTTCAAGCAGTGTGCAGCGGTAGCATCTCTAAAATCGATATCACAAATAATGGAGATCGATAATATTCATATATTGGAGTGTTCTTCCTTTGTTTCAGGGCGAAGTGGCACCTCGATATCCACCACAATTATTTATTTGAAGTACCAGCTACAGTCATTAGGTTGACATTGATTTTGTTTGGTACCGAATTTTCTCAGCAACAATCATGGTATTGCTTCGTATGAAGCTTACAGCTACAGTGGAATGAGGAATTTATGTGATGCGTGGATGTCGCTGTTTTTGTTTGTACAGCGTTTATCTGCGTGCACCAGACCCCAGTATGGCCGTGGTTATCGCAAGCTTCCTTTCCATACGTAGAGTATGTACATGTGGCAATGCTTGTCAACGTAAATTCTTATTTAGTGGCCAGATTTGTTTCTAACCAACAGCTGATTTGTAGCAACTAGTGTCCCTTTTTGTCAATATAGCACGGACGAGGTTCGTGCCTGTAACCAAAGTAACAGTAATGGCAGTAGCGGTAGGCATACATAGATATACACGCGAACATTCATGGTATAACTGGTTGTGTGCGTGGTAATGATTGTGTAGAGATTGAGAAGGACCCTTTCCTCCACCCACCAGGCGACAAAAGTATCGTGCCTCGTATGCTTTTTCTGCTGACGCTGCCGCTTGATTTGTTAGCTGGCTACGTGGCTGACTAATGTAAGCAGGCAAGCAAACGAGCAAACCAGCGTTTGGCAACATAAGCGACTGTCGGTATTGGCTACCGTCATTTTACTAGCGTGCTTCGTTGTTCTCTGTTCTGCTTTTGCTGTCTGCTACGCTATGAAACGAACGGAACTAGCCGTCGTGTAATGGCCTGCGAAGAGCGCGCAGCATGATGCATCGAACGGTGCGCGCACCACGACGGTCAAATCCGACCAACCTAGCGGCCTGATACTGCCCTTGCTGCTGCTGCTGCTGCTGCTACCGTTACTGTTAGTGGAGCGCCGATACGAATCTTTGAATTGAAGTCACTCAGAAATGCTCCTCGGTCATTTCTCTTTCTTTCTTTCCTTCTTTCCTTCCTTCCTTCCTTCCTTCCTTCCTTCCTCCGAAGTACGCTGATTGACGCGGCTGTGGTGGCGAACGTCGCAGCCACGTTAGTGTTGTGCGGTAGACCCCCCGTTCTATCTAGTGGTCTATACCGAGTGAGTGAAAAGTTGCGTGGACATCATTGGTCGGCTGGTTACGAAGCACACGGTGCCACTAGCGACGGTAAGCCATCCGTTGATGGCTGTGCTAGACAGAAGACTTAGAGACAAGCAATGCCGATTTTAGCGTAATTCTGTAACAAAAGACCGGGTGGCTTAGGAGACGCAGTCGCGACTACGGGAAACAGCAGACCACGTCATCCACCGCATTAGTGCTTGCTGAGCGCTTCACGGCTCGATAATCTGATGACGATTTTTCAGCGCGGAGCGCTGTTACGCCATGATAATGTTTCTTACTTCTTAACTGAGTCGTGGCTGACTGGATAGGCTGAGACAACACGATGGACTTGTGCGACGTCGCGACGCAACTTGGGTAAAGAACTTCTGCTAATTGTACGGGTACGACCGCTATTAGTTAGCCTCGTTTTGAGTTATGTGCGTCTGTGGCGATGGCTTTAGGTGGTGCTGAATGTGACGTCGCGAAACACCAGATAGTCCAAGTTTTCTTGCTTTTTCCATAGATTAGTGTCTGCGAGACGAACAACGTTACCATTATCCTGAAGGCTACCTGTGTAGGCACGTACTTTGAATGTAGCTATCTAGTGTAAACAACTTCAGTAGTCTGCAACACTAACGTATTATGCGAGCGCCTGTGCTATTTTAGGTAGACGCTGTATTGTGTAGCGCATCGGCCACGCGAGACGTAAATACCATTCGTTGCATGATTATATGCGCTTAGTTGCTTCTGATTTCGACGTTGGAATCGCACACTGGTCCTGCGCTACTGGTCGAAATCTCTTCCATTGAACAAACAATCTGTTGCGTTCGCTAAACCTTGTCCTAGCAAGGCAAAGAAGGCCAGCAGCAGCAGGGAAAGCGAGTCCCATAGTGACGTTCGGCAACGAAGACGAACAAATAAAGGGTGCAAGTAAAAGGATACATACGATGAACGCGCAATAGTAATAATGGAGTGCTTACTAGTATTGGCGCTCTGCATATGCTGATTAGGACGTTTGGCGCACCTGTAGTGGCAACACGAGTTTCAACAACAATAACAGGTTATTCGAACACGACGAGTATTGTGTGCTATCGATGAATCTGTGCGGTGGCTTGTTCAACTTGTACGTTCTTCGCCATACAACATCAATGTCTTGTCCATAGGAGGAAACGTAAAAGTGTAAGAGCATTACTGTTTCCACTTAAAGATGGTTAGACAGTTCCCTAGTTGAAATCGTGACCGAAAGGATTAATTGACTGTTACGCTCCGTCAGACAGAATACATTGCCCGCTTGCGAGACAAACGTTTTACTAGGCAGTACTGATTTTGCTTTGAAGACATTATGCTTTGAATTTGTGATCTTAGTTGTGTAGATTTTGCGATACAGGCGAATCGAAGCCGCCTCGGATCTGTTGAAGCCTTCAACTGGTGCGGGATAAGCCAGAAAGAAACCATGAGGAACGGAGTTGTTTCTATGGGGTCCTTGGGCCGTACCCCGATAACTTTGCGGGGCTTTACCTCCCCACCACCAGGAGTTAACCAAAACGTACGGCCTAGTGTTCAGCTTCTTCAGATCCTCAGAACTGTCCAGGTAACTACTATATGTCTAACATATATTTGACTGTATACGGTTATGTACAGTCAGTGCTATGTCTAGGGTAGCTCAGCGGTACACAGCTATATTGTTCACATTATATAGACATAAATTATCTATCAACGACACTTTTCTGCGAAGCAGTCTCTCGAAGATCCAACCGCGTTCAGTGTGAACGGCCAATTCTCTTCATCAAAGAAGACCTAAATAAATCCTTCAAAAACAACTTTCGCAAACTGCCTCAGAGTTCTAGGTCGTTTCGTACTTTTTATTGTCGTAGAACACCGGTTTTGACCTTCAGACTAGTATTATACAATGTACTTTCGTTACCGAAATTAAAAGATGGTGAAGCGCCGTATGTTACAAGTCTGATACAATGAACGAGTAAAGGGAGTACCGCTTTCTCTTTATGCTACAGTATTGCAATGTTCATATGCGTGCGTTTTGAAGAAGTTGTACATTGACGCTGCTTTAACGCTCGACCCCTGTCCAATTCATATAGTATACGCACAGATGTAAAAATGTAGATGTATACTGTATCGGTTAGTCATGATGAGAGCGGTGTTCGACAGCTGCAACTGTTGTCCGCTTGTCTATATGAATCTTCTGCAGAAATCTGCACAGACATATTTATCGTGGCTGTATTTGCTAATGTTGGGAGTGTATGTGTGTGTTGAATGATCCGGCGGCGGCGGCGGCAGCAGCACTGAAAAGTTAGCGTATACCACTGATGGTACCCGTTGTAGTGAATACGCTCTTTTCGATGTAGTGCTGATGATGCTTGTGGCACGCAACGCGTGTGTAGGTGGCTCTTTACCGACCGATGTTGTCTAATTTCCCGAGATGAATGACTGACTGAATGAACGGCCGGTCGCTTAGGGGACTGCCATTGCAGCGAGTTTTTACTTATTTGCTACGACAGAGAGCTATAATGGGGAGTCTACAGCGTGTAGCTACTAGTGAATAGTAGTTGGCATGCGGCTGCTTGACGGAATGCTAGACGGTTCCCCCCGAGCGGGTAAGCATACCCCTCTGACTCTGCCGACTCTGTATGGAAGCGCACGTGAGACGCGCCGCTGTTAGTATTGTCATCGGCGGGATAGGCAGTTTTGGTTGGACGTTGGAAGCATATCTGGACATATTTTCGTTTTTCGTATCGTGATGTAGGTAGGATGGGTTAGATGCGTGATGAGAACGGACAGCCGTTGTGCGATGACTCTGTGTAGATGACAGTTCAGTCACAGAAAACTTCAGTTTAGGGATGGAAAGCGGTCCAATTGATGATAAAAACGGGCTATTAGTTCAAAGTATTATTTGAAAGAGTTACATTGTAAAACGGAATTCTTAAGGGATCATGCTTAGGTATCATAGTTAACAGGTGTAGTATTCACGCCGAGAGAAGGCGCTGTAACGAGACATTCTTTGACAGGATATGGTAACGTGTTACATGAAAGCAACTAGATGGCAGCGAAGAACGTGCATCTTTACGGCGATGCGAAAGTCCTTTGAAGCTACGCGGTCCTGTCGTAATAAGGAATAAGTTCTCGAACAATTCCTGCAATTCCAGAATTCAGACAGGTGACAATTCGGCTTGCAGAGAGTTAAGCTGTCATTTGTTTGAGATGTCATCTATGAGAATACGTATCATAAGGATTCAGAACGCTATAATACACCTGCAAATTGGTTGAATAGGTCGTACTTGTGTTCAGTGCAACGTTACGTCCCAAAGAATGAGACACTGATATGTCTTCGGCTTAACAGCATTGTACAATAGTATAATAACCACTAAGATTGCTCTATCGAATCGGTTATTCTTACTGGCGGTAGCATAATCCCTACTATATTACCAAATAGAGTAGTTTTGTGAAGTTTTAACTTATACGTATATTGGTCCTCTCTAGATTGAGGTTGGATGGACCTCGAACTTATTTCTCGCCTAGCGTACACACTAAGTAGGAGGTATTAGCCTTGTATTGTTTGAGTGCGACGAGGCATTGAAGACCGAGTCCTGCAAGAAGGTCGCATTAAACAATATTATTACGATAATTTAGATTGTCAGCTGAATTAGAGGATGGCACCATGCGCATTAAGCGTTCGATTGAAAACGAGAAGGCTTCATATCACTGTGAATTAATTCCTGGCCACTTTTGTATTGTCAAATCAGAAAACCGAATATCCCGGACAAACATGATTCAGACTATTTCCTTGAACAGACGTGCTACCCGATGTATACTAGATATTATACTACTGTGGTGGTGTTTCGAGTTGTAAGAATCTGCATATATTCTTTCTGCTTTTGGATGATCAGGCCGATCTGAACCACGCAGATGGATGACACCAGCATCATCCTTGCATCTCGTCCCTGCTTCCATTACTCAACTTGGGCTTATTAGTAGCTTATGAAATTATTCGTTAGCAGTTTCCTTCCGTGTGAGCAGGACGATGCTTTGGCATCGATGGCAACAGTAACCCGATTTCATGCATCAGAGACAGCCGTACGACGATACGATATTCCCCGGGCAGAGGTAAGCTTGCCTAAGCGTCGGGTAGGTAATCCGCAGCTGTCGTATCGTGTGATGAAAATAGTCGAGATCTATCAACAAATATAAGCTTTTCGTACTCGTAAAAGATCATGTAAATATTTTGTAAAGATACATGTAAATATTTTGAACTAATTTATCACCGTAATGAGTCACCAGTTCACTGAAAGGATACTTTACCGCAGCGAGCAAAAGGACCTTGGGTAATTTGATTGCTTTTAGAAGTGTTCCTTGAATATGTATGTGTTCATGTTTCGCTCCGAACTAACATCGTAGCATATTTAATTGTCTTTGCGAACAATTCCGGCACTAGAGACATAAATAATTCAGTTAGCTGGCGACTGCCTGTCGGGGTCGACATGAACGAGGTGCGTCTTCAATCGAAGTGATCGGCCTTCGCCTGCTTCGCATATTTCGACGTTCGGTTCTCTTAAAGCCTATAGTCTCTGTGATTTGCTGCTGCTGCTGCCGGGAGTGAGTCGTCCATCTGTTTGTCAGTCCGCGCTAATAGTTTTTCCTCATCCACCTGTTGTTGTTGTTGTTGTTGTTGTTCGACACGAAGACACTGCCGATCGGCTCCCGCTATCTCGCCTGCTGATAAAGTTCTGTTGCTATTGCCATTACTGTAGAATATGCCCTAACCGGCGTCCCAGCAGCCGCCATTGTGATGCGATAACATGGCCACGGGACCGTCATGCTCGTGTATATATGCAGGGTGCAGGACACAAGAAGAATGCACGTACGAAAGCCGTGTTTGCTGCACGTGTCGTGCATATCCCCACCAATTTATTGTTACCGTTCGTTCTCCCGTTCTTCTTCCGCATTAAGATCAATTTAGCTGGAACAAACAGCGTCCAGTAGCCATTGCAACTGCAGTTTCAACAAAGCATCATCATCGTCACTATCGGCAACAGCATGACAATACGGCTTTGCTCGTCGTAAAGCTCCCTTGTGGTCTTAGCGTTGATGGTAATAGATGAAGACGAAAACGAAGAACTGCTGCCTCCAGAAGGAGTTTACCGGGCTGATGATTCTGGCCATCATCGCTGTTGACGGTCAGAATCGTCGCACTTGCAATAGCAAAAGCAACTTGTACACAAATGCTAACAAAACGTCGCTCCAATGTCGCCACTGCCGTCGCAGCCGTACGCTGCACAGCGGCGTGCCAATCGCCGGCGACGTTACGAGCGAGCCTTGTCATTTAGCAGCAGGAGAGTATTCTAACGCGGAATTGTTGCGGAAGAAGTAAAAGGAATAGGACCTTGGTGGGGCCCGGCGATGGCGACTGCTTCTTCCTGCAGTAGCATAGACAACCACACAGGCTTTTTTGTGTAGCGCTGTACGTAGCGTGAGGCCGCCGTTGCTACTGCTGCTGCTGCTGCTGCTGTTATTATTGTTCTTACTGTCGACGAAGATATTGGCGGCGACGGCAGTGGTAGCGTTGTTGTTCGTGTTTACGCCGATAATATCGGCTATGATAATCACGATGGCGGGCGACGTTGTACGCGCGACTGTGCTTCAGCTCTCTTACTGGTGCCTCTGCCGCGACCATCAACCGACGACTGTCACGGCAGCAATAGCAGCAAATGAAGCGTCAAGACTACCAACAGCCCACACTCAGCTACAACTCAACTACTAGTGGCAGTAATAACGAATGATTTCGAACCGTCAGCGACTCGATCCGATCAACCAAATAATGAGCCAATGCTCCATCAATGCGCTAACAGCAACATCAATAACGATCCCACTGCTGATGGCCCTAGTACAAGAAGCACACGACGCGATGTGAAAGACGATAGCGCGCTCGATATGCGGCAAGCCGACGCACGTCTGAAGAATGAATTCTTCATACAAACCGTAGCACAGCGGTAAACTGGAGAGGAATGACGACGTCGATAACGTAAACGGATCAGTGACGATAGCAAAAACGGCAATAGCAAGGGCAATAGTACAAAGAAATAGCGTCGGCTTAGATTGGGTCTAGCAGTGTTGTTGCTACGATTTCTCGCAACATTGTAGAAACGGGTTAACGTCAGTCTCACAAAACGCACACGGGTCAGTGCACCCATGTGTAGTTTTGCCGTCGCTGCTAATAGTTAGTGGAAAGGCAATAGGGCAAAAACGCTGTACGAACATCGACAACGATGGCAGGCAAGATGGAATGCTGAGTGTACTATCGTATGTGTATCGTGTCGGGCGTGCTAGACGCATGTCGCTTGGTCTCTGCGCCGCAGCAACCGATAGAGCTTTTCAGGGCTCTGCGCTGGGACGTTCCGATAAATTTGGTCAAGATAAGAATCAACAGGAAGTGGCGATTGAACATCGTATTGTGTGCGAAAATTCACGTGCGAAGACTTAAGTCGTGCCGCATGCGTGTCAGGCAGTTAGAAATAGCTATGGGAAAAAAGCATCGGTTCACTTTGCCATCTCTCGATCCCGGCCAAATGGACAGTTTTCAACAAGCCTCCAGCTCACCCAGCGAGAACTTCGAGATATGATGGACCAAAAAAAATGGAAACATAACTTACCGATGTAATGCTAGATCCAAGCTCAGCGATCCTGACGCATGCCCAGATTATTCCGGTATTCCGTATATGCAGAACAGGACCCTCCGCTGCATCATTACAATCATGGTCAACTTCTAAAAATTTCCATAATGGAAAATACATCTCGTCCTTGAGGGCAACAACGACACTTTTATGGTACACGTTGTAGCTCCATGACGCGTGTGCTTCAGATTAACAACAGGATGCTAAACGAGCATGCAGCTGCTGTATGAGAGGGTGATTAGCTCGATCTATGGGGGATAGAGGTAAGAATACATCAAATAAGCAGACTGTAATGAGGTTTTTTTTTTCACTGCTGTGTCATCATAGGAAGCCCTCTTTGCTATGAGGAGGCGGAGAAGGAGAAGACGAAGGGAAAAGATGAACACGAACGAACCGAGCGACTTCACTGTTGTTGTTTCCGCTGAATACTGGTAATTACCACGTAATGAATGAATGAATGAATGGAACTCTTACGCGTATACAGTGCAAAACTTGAGGTAACTTGGGTTGGACGAACCTTTCTGGGCTTATAGTGGATTTCCGATTACCAATGGGTTGTCTTTGGCGTGTGTTCAACTTCAACATTGCGTGTAACGCCCGCTAATTGGCAGGCCTTTTACGAGTGCTTTCTTATCATGGTCTAAGCAAAGCATTTCACGCAGTTCAAAGGTGAGGTGTGTCTCGTCTCATGTAGATAAGGGGGCGGCGCCCCATTTTGGTTCAACCCCGGTAGCTTAATGGTTTTCGTTTTTTGAACGCTGCATTATTAAGATAGCTATAAGATCCACTACCTTTTGACAGATACACAGATTTTTGATGATCAAGTCTGTTTCTACAGCGCTGATCATTTTTTTTCCAATCTTATCAAAATATTTGATTCTCGTAATATAAAGAGTTAGACCACATCCATGTATTACATGCATGTTAAAAGTTAAAAAAAAAAAAACTTACATTTTAGGTTACATGCTAGGAATAATACTTAACTAATATGTTAGTTTACAGTGGAATCCAGTTGCCTTATTAGCATCGTATGCTCACGTAATTATGAACAGAATACGAGACCTGGTAAACAAGTATCAAATTTTAGCGTATATAGTACACGTAAAGGCAATACTGGTATCTTCACTGTGCCTCAAACATTGGGAATATCGTAGTCGTAATTTTGATCTTGCTCAACTACATCTTTATGCATAGACGGCGACTACGTTACATATCGAAACAAATTGTGTTGGGCCCTGGTGTGACTCATTCTACGTACGTTAGAGTTACATACATTTTGTTTTTCTTATTAGTGGTAATGGTATCTGTATGTCTAACAATGGGGTCCATTTCAATTCACGTGGGTCCATTAGAGATTGGCCGAAGGTTCACCCGAACCTAAAAGGAGAAGCTCATATAGTTGCTGCTGCTTCTGCAAAGGGAACAAAAAAAAAAATACGTAATCCCGCCAAATTAAAAGAGCTCACGGTCGCCTCGCAATGTGACTGGCCGAACACATATCAGTGAAAGTAGCACGTGGGCAAGTAAGCACAAGATTATCAATATCTTGAGGTTAAAATGCGGGAATGAGGAAGCAAGTCCTGATCAAAATATATATGGACCTGATCGCACGGTACCAGGGTTAGCAATGCACGACGAAGGCTCAGACAAGGATGACAACTGTCGATGAAGCAGCTCCCATATCAAAGCTGCAACATAGAATTTGTCTCTGTGAGTTTGAGGGCAAAAAGAACAGAAACGAGACAAAACAGATGGTGCGAACAACGCGAAAGACGGTCGAGGAGACTGACCGCGTCAAGGGATTATAAGGTAAAATGCGGAGAGAAAGGCAAGGATAGACAGTAACTACTGGCTTCCCACAACAGCAGTTGCGTCATAACGACTGTAGTGGTGGCATGCCTCGCCTATCTTTAAGACATAAGCCGACATATGCAGTCCGCCAGAGAAACTGGAGGACTGCATATGTCGGTTACGTTTTTTTCCACTTTCCGTACCTGAGACCTACTTCCTTTCCGTTCGTGCCAGGGTCTATGCCGCGCCCGTCGACCCTCTCTCTTTATCCCATCTCTCAGACGCTGCCACATTTTGTTTGGAGTCATGCAAAAAGAGTCTATAGCAGAACAAGGAAGTATAGGCAGTGGACGAGCGAGACGTAAGACTGGAAAAGGTCGACTATTTAAATGAAGTCTACTCGTCCGAACTACGAACCATTTTAATCGTCTTCGGCAAAGACGGGTCACCTTGGCTAGAGTCGCTAAGCCTGACAACGAAGAAACTTGCGGCGGAAAGGACGTAAGGAACCGTGAAAGCGCATAGAAAAGTCGACGAAACGACGAAGCTGGAAAAAACGTAGGATGAGTGTAGCAAAAGCATAGGGAAAGATAGGAAAAATGTTGGTCGGTTTTCCGTGTTCCCCCCCCCCCTACTAAGGGAAACACACAGCAGTTCTAGCCTTACCGAAGGAGGCAACGTGAGTATCAGAACTGGTTGGTGGGAACAGGAAATCTGAGCCGTTAAACGGTTGGGTAGGGCTGAACTGTACACTCGCGATAGGATTTCCTGTCAGCTATTCTATGCATCATAATACGCTTAACGGATATGTAACTATACGAGTATGTTCGTTCACGCAGGCGTCTAGACGTTTCTATTGTATTTGAATAGATAGGTGGAAACACCCAAAGCAAAGTTGTACTTCAGTTTGAGGGGATAGAGGGGGCTACGTTACCATAGGCTTGAGTGATGAAAGCGTTGTAAATAATAGTGTTATTAGAAATGGTTGTATTAGTGACTCCTCCAGCTCAAAAGATGCCATTTGGAGCGTTGTGTTGAAGACGATGGTTACATAGCTGGTGCAATTAGTGGTCGATCACAAATACTAATAAATATATTTTTTCTGTTATGAAAAATAAAGTAAGGACTACTTATATGTTAGAGTTATTGATATACTGCAACTAGTGGAAAATTAGTTAATCAGGATATTAAATAAAATGAAAAAGAGCTAATGAGACGGAAGAGTTTTGTATAATACCTCACGTAATTAAGGCGAGGATTTGGTACCGCACATTGATCACCCTGGCTTACGTTAGTGCGTGCTGGCTGTTTGACCACTATTGCGCACTATGTCCGACATGTCATCTGTCAGGCAGCTGAACCCATTTCGCGCTGATGCAGTAACAAACGTACAGAGTATTCCGTCAGCCGAGTGCTGGAAGAGTAGTAACTAGTAATCCAAGCAGCAGCAGTAATAGTTACGAAACAGCAAGTCCTAACGGAAGAACCGATTGCGAAGGTGGCAGTCTATCAAATTGTGTTTCCCTATAGATGCACTACCTACTGCGTCGTGTTTCGCCGTAGTTTCCAGTGCGCTTCCTTTCTAAGCCCTCTGTGTATTGACAATACGCACCATCACGCAGAGATATAGCTTATAAACAAAGGAGGAGACTGGAAAGATGGAGCGAGAATTGTTGATCTCTCATTGACGCTATTGCTAGTTACATTTATTCGTGGTCAGTTAAAAGTGACTTTGGCTACGAGGAACAGCTGTACGTTGCACGATGGTATGAGAACGCCCAGCGGAACGAACGTAGTGGCTACGTGTTGTGAACTTCTGAGTCGATGTCAGGTCGAATAAAGAAAATTCAACGGATAGAAATCCACGGTTGCTCGATTATGGCGCGTGCAGTCCATAAGCCAAGGACTCATACAGAGTGGAGCGCTCGTGCCTGTTTGTGCCGACGGTTCGATCGATCCTTCTCCTTGCTACCATAGAGGGGCGCAAGGGCATAAAGGATTAGGGGCAGGAACGAAGCGAGGACCGAGCAGCGAGGCAACCAGTAAGGTTAAGGCACGATATGAGAGGGCGAAAGGAAATTGTAGGGCAAGTTTCTTATTCCCTGCGGATCGGCTCCACTGGCTGACTGACTGGTCCAAGCCGTGCGGGACAACGGCAGGCCTTATGAATCTGAAGCGGCCGAGAGTCGCTAACCACTGCATAGTGACAATAGTGAGGTATCTCCCTATGCATCCACACACGCACAGAATCGACGAGGCTCGGACGCCTGCTTTTACGAGCCTGCTGGCAGCTATACGTTGACCTAGATTTTTGCAGACTGTGGACTTGGCGTTTACTTTTGCCCATGCCGGCTTTGAGGACAGTGAAGCTAGGAAAAAAGCGAATTACGATGAGGTATCGGCCACCTGATTCAATAATGATGTCTCGCTGAATACACGATGTTAAAAATGGGATACTCGACTAGCGCAGGCATACAACTGCAATAGGGATACCGTAATAGCTCAGTTTGAAGCAGCGGAACAAAGCTCATTAACAGATCGCCTCTCATATAGCCTCGCAGGGGTCTCAAGATACCTGGCATCATCGAACTGCTATATTTTCGCGATAATCGTATCTATTCATTATTACAATATTTTCAACTATTGTACCGCAACGTTATTAAACATTAGTTATATAGTGATTTTAGATATACAAATTTATCCACGAATATGTTTGTAATGGTTACTGCGCAACGGTTGCGGGTGTGCATTGATCAGTTGCAGAGGTCAAGTTTTTTTTGGGCTCAAATAGACATTTTTTCTATTGCAAAAGAGACAATTTCTATTGCAGCACGATATTTAATTTTGTTATAAACACTGTTCAATTAAATATCGAAAATAATGAAAAAAATATCATTCAATATGGATTACTTGTTTATGCAGTTGAAACAGCGTGTGGCCATGTTACTGACGACAGCCGCAATTACCACGCAACGCTATGAGTAAAATTTCAGCGAACTTTATTCGCTATGTTCACCTTGGGAAAATTGGAAATCACCGTTTTGAACCTAATGATAATGCAATGCTACTGTAGAAAGGCTTGTTACACAAGCTTGTACTATAAGGCCACACTTATATCGTACGTTATAATTACGTGGGCTCATTAGTAAGCAGAATTTAAGGATATTGGCAAACGTTATCTTCACTTTGCATATCTTGTTCAGCGTAACGTACGTTAAAGTTATACCTGAGCAGTTTATCTAACTTGCACGGCGTAATGATGGTGATTCCATACTGAGCAGTTATTCGTGCATTTGTAGTTTCCCCCGTGACAAGAGCTGTTTTCGATAAAATGAAACAAAATGATGTTTGCCCCCTTCGGAGCTATATCTAAATAAAAATAGATTTAAACGACATTTTTGCATGCGCTAACAGAAGCATCTTCGACGGTTGTGTTTGTGTGATATGATTTGCACCATTGTAACTTAAGACATTATCAAAGGTTCTTCTTCTAATAGTTTGTTGGTAGCAACCGATAGTGTGGCTAGATCGGTACATCTATACACACAAACGAATTGACTTAGAAAAAGCGAAGATATCTAACGGACTAAAACTTCTGGCTGACAATAAGGTAAAAAAGTTGAAAAATCCGACGACTGAAAAGGCCAAAAGGTACAAAAACCCACAAGAATAAGTGTTAAAAATTATACAATTAGAAATTTTCTAGGGAACCTAATTGGAAATCGCTATTAACCACTAGTCTCGGAATAATTCTTTTTTTTTTTTCAATCAGTTTTTAAAGCCCCTTCAATCTGGCCATTAAAAATCTTCCATCAAAGCATCCAAATTTGTCTCAAGAAAACATGTTTGCCGTATTAACTTGAAGCTACATAGGAACTAGCAATGATGGTAGCTCGATTTCGGATAAGCAGAAAGGCTTGATTCGGAAGCGATTTGTCCAGTGCGAAGAGAAGCCATTCAACAATAAACAATGTTTACTCATCTTCGGAAGATGAATGTCCTGTTTAACCTGTTATGATAAATTTGTAATCTTATTCTTGGATGTACCGATTGATCTTCTCCTAATACAAAGGACAATGGGTGAATCAATCCTTGACCGTTACGGCAAACGTCCCGCCAAAACTGTCGCAATCTATTCCGGACACAATATTTGAAACCATACAAGCCAATGTACTGCTACTTGACGTCTAGTAACGTATCGACTGAACAGATATCGTGTTTGTTCTCCAGCCGTTTTGTCTACATGCCTCATAGGCATTTAGCTTTAGGCACGCTTGAACTAACAATTATATATCTTGGATAATGATCAAGTGGCTAGCAAAAGTTTCAGTCCGTCATTTTTTTTCTACATAGGTGACTGGCTGCAGGCGGTGGTGCTGTTTTGTTATAGAGACGATAGCAATGCAGGTACAACAGTGTCGTTCATTGTCCTTTGGCGGCCTATGTGTGATCACGAGATATCTGTGACAACTCGGCTTACACGCTGTGATGCAGAATTTGCGTCGTTGACAGGTCAATAGCCTCTATCATACCTGTGGATTTATTAGGTATGACATCCACATATCGACCTATCACGGTGCAAAATTACGTCCAAGTAGTCCCCTCTCAACTAGATCGCCGATATAATCGATTGCAAGGTGAAGTGTGGGTCGATGTCAGCTGCGTGGAGCGTTTCTCGTCAAGATTACTTAAGTCAGTCAGATTAATTTTGGATGACGATCAGTAAGTTTGCTTGGGATATTGTATTTTTAAAAGTTCGCTGCTTAATTTATCCGCCGTGTGCCCTCGCCCGTTTCTGCCGCTGGTGAAGCCTTGTACAATGATATCTAACTGTCTAATTGTTTGACGGGCATCAAATGCGTTGCTGTCGTCACGTGGCTCGTTAACGTCGGAGCGTACTTTTCCGTCCCGCCACTAACGGAACATGAGGCTGAAGGAGTAGCCCTATGTCACCACAATATCAAGTGAGGCACAGGGCAAATTTGCGTGGTCGAACGCAACTGACTTTTTCGGCGTCCGTCGTAGTGTCCGTACGGCCTCCCTCACCCCTAACAGCTAAGACAATACGTGTCATCTGAACTGGACGGGTGCTGTTGGGAAATCAGTCAGTTAGCAAATGGAACCGCATGCGTCAAACAAGACGCCAGTACTGCGATGTCGACGACCGTCTGCTAGCAAGCCTCATCTAAGCAAGTCTGCATCCGCCGCCGTCACTTAGCCTGTCGCACAACAGCAGGCGCGAGGGCCTACTTGCTGCGACAATCCCGCAACGTTCGGTTGAACGCAGAGGAGTGACTGATGTACGATACTTCTATTATTAATAGTAATATCGCTATGTTAGTAGGCT